GTGGGGTCCATGAGAGGTGGTGAGGTCCCGAGGACTGTGACTCATAAATGGATTAATGTCTCTGTCATAGAGAGTGTTAATTACCACAAGAACAGGTTTGGTATAAAAGCGAGTTTGGCTTCTTTTGTAGTCTTTTTTGTCCTCTGTTGCTCTTGTGCCTTGTGCCATGGGATGACAGCATGGAGACTCTCACCAGATGCCAGCCATGTTCTTGGGCTTCCAAGCCTCCAGAATAGTAAGCCCCATAAATTGCAGTTCATTTTAAATTTTTCCCTATCACAGATATGCTGTGATATTAGCAGAAAATGGCTTAAGACAATGGCACATAACTTCAAATTCGTAGCTCTCTGTGCCTCAGTTTCCTTATCTGCAAAACAGAAATAACAGGTTGTTGAGTAGGATGGATTACATAATGCTTGATAAAATCTGAGTCTGTAGCAGGCTGGATCATATATAATACTTAGAGAGCCCATAAAAATAATAGCAGGGGGGCTGGGGATTTAGCTCAGTGGCGTAAGCACCTGCCTTGCAAACAGGCAGTTGTGAGTTCGATCCCTGGTACCGATAAAAACGAAAAAGACCAAAAAAAAAAAAAAATAATAATAATAATAGCAGGATTCTGCAGTGTTCAAGAATGGAGCTGGAATTTAAATTCAAGTATGTTTTGACTTTCAGTTTGATGCACTTACTGTGTGCCTGGCCAGTTACACAAATTAATTCGTTTAACCTGAACGGTCACTGTGTGAGGTGGCTAATGTCTTCCTTTTACAAATAAGGCAGTTGAAGTTCAGAGAAATTAAGTATCTTGTCTTTAAATCATGTATTTTGAACCCAAGCAGGCAGCTGGCTTCAACAGCTTTTATAACTCTGTAGAGGGTCAAGGAAGGGATGATTATCTTCAAGGAATGGACTGTCGTGTTCTTACCTCTTTTATATATCTCTAGAATGTGCTAGCAGTGGGCTCTTACATGTGGACACAAGATAGCCAAAAAAAACATGCCTGCCTTAGAGAGAAAATAAAGCTTGAAGCCAGGTTGACACACACCACCATCCTGACATGATGCCGATTTCTGGATGCAAGCATAGATGAAATGCTGAAGACCCAGGGCTGTCAACTGAGCATGTCATGCTGTAACTATCAGATATGTTCTCAGGAATAAATATACTTCTCAGATATAGTACCTTCTTTATAAAAATCCTGTATCAGGAGCTGGGAATTTAGCTCACTGGCATAAGCACTTGCCTTGCAAGTGCACAGGTGTGAGTTCAATCCCTGGTACCAATTAAATAAAAATCATTTCAGCACACCCCTCATTTTATAGCTGGGGAAACAGGCTTTGAGGTAGTGTCTGCCCTTTAAAAGACAAAGCCAGGACACCCTCCTCTCTGAAAACAGGTAGGGTTTTTTTGTTTTGTTTTGTTTTTTCTCCTTTCGTTTCTTTTTCTTGCCAAATGTAGAAATATATTAAGGAGCAGGTTTTGGCTTATAGCAGAATACATTTTTCTAAGCTTTGTGAAATAGAACATGATAGTAGCAGCTGTGGAATTTGTCAGGCTGGATGTGTTGGACAGAGGTTGAACAAGTTCCTGACAAGTCTATTGCTGAGGGATTCAGTTATCACCTACAGAGATGGACTTAATATTTCAAATTCTTTGTACATGGAAGTGTTTTGGGGGGAGGCAGGGGGGCGGGCAGAGAGGCAGGGGTTTTATTTTTATCTTTTTCTTTTTTTTGGTACTGGGAATCAAACTCAGGACCTTGTGACTGTCAGGCATACGTTGTACTGCTGAGCTATATCCTGGGCCCTATTTTTCTTTATTTTTCTTTTTGAGACAGGGTCTTCTTGTGTAGTACAGACTGGCCTTAAACTTAGTATGTAGCCCAGGATGGCCTTAAACTTGCAGCAGTCCTCCTGCCTCAGCCTCCCAACTACTGGGATTACATGCTCTACCACACTCGGCTTACATGAAAAGCTTAGGTTCATTGAAATATGATAATTTTGATTTTTTTTTGCATCTGGTCTCACACTTTTTCACTAGCATGAGAAAATATACATACTATACAGGCCTAGAAAAAAGAATGAAGAGTCTTCCAATGTGATACCTTCATTTATAAGTGCATGCATAAGCCCAGAAAGATAATTGTTGGTGGTAATGCCAAGGCTGGATCTCAGGCCTCTCAATTCCTAGTCCAATGTAGTTTATACAATGTAGTTTATATAACAAGCATCTGTTCCTAGCCAGTGGTCTAGCACACAGAGCAGTCAGCACTAGACACTTCCTTCATCTCTCACACAAGCGGCCATCAGGTCCTCTGCATTCTGCTTCCTTAAATGTCTCTTGAAGCATTCCTCATTTGTTCAGTCTCCATCTGGGTGCAGCTGCCATCATTTCTCAAGATGACATTGTCTCCGGATGGTCTTCCGTCTCAGTCTTGCTCCTGGTACACTTGAGTGAGCGAGTGAGCCTGTGAGTCAAAAGTACACCTAACAGTACCGTGGTATGCCTACCAGAGCCAAGTCCCGAGATTCCAGTTTCTGAAAGGAGTATGTATTTGGATTTTATAGGGTATAATTGAAGAAACGTCTTAGAAATCACTCAGGCTAGAGAAAAGTGGCAGATTGAGGGTTGTGCTACCTACAAATTGAGTCAGGTTTAATGATTAATACATGGGACTAAGTATAGTATCACACTGAAAAAATACCTTTACTCCAATTTTTACATACTTCTAGCATTGACCATGTGGAATTGGTGGACTCCCAGGTATTAATCATTAAAATTCCCTCTAGATTTGTAAGAACTGTTTATTAGCAGGTTTTATACAACATTTAATAATCCATGGGCAGATACTACTATCTCGAAGATGTCAGAACTAAATTTAATGTAAAGAGCTCGCAGAATAGTCACGCCACCCATGCTTGATTGATTCAACACCCACTGGAGCTGTCTCATTTTATATTTGAGCCCCCAAAGGGAGGAAGGAGGGAGAAAGAAGCAGGGAGATTACATCCCTAGAGAAACAGTGTGAATTTCATCAAACATCCCTCCTTGCTAAATATGGCTGCCTGTGTGAGCTGAGGCAACAGATCCAGAAGGATCCTGTCATCTGATAAATGTAGCAAGAGCTGCAGAAAGGGTACTAAAGAATCTCCAAATTCAACTCTATGGAGTAGATGTGGTCTGAGAAGTTCACTTCTATAACCCCTGGGGAGCCAGAAGGGGCACACTTTCTGGAAAGAGTCTACTTGCTCGGTGAACTCGTAAAAATAACTCACTTTCTGTTCTGATTCTCTTAGTTCATTATTTCTTTCTAAGTCACATCTTAGTTTGCTGTGCAATCTAGGGATTAACTCCCAGTCAGACAGCTAAGTGAGCTACCTAGGTGGCAGGATTGTGTAGAATAAAAATCAGCCTTTTGGGGCTGTTGCTTCAACAATGGCTGAGGTAGAATGCTTTTATTTAATTATGGGTTGATAAAGAACATACTTGGTAAACATCTAGTTAAAACTGCTGCCAAGGAAAGTTTTCTTCTGTGAATTAGTGGATACTTCATTAAGACTCCTCATAAGTTTCGTCTCCTTGGTGATGTCTTGCCCAGTTTTATTTCTATCCTATAATAAATTATTCTTTGTTGGTGTGTGCCATTACTGTGTTTTGAAACTAATATATCAACACCTGTATCATCAATGTCTTTCTCTTTTACCTAACTCTTGACATCAGGTATTATGACTTAAATCCCTCTACCCTCAAGCTTCTGTAACTACAGGTAATAAGGAAATTAGTAATAACTTTCAGTAAGTGGGCTTGAAAGCAAATTGTTGAATAAATAAGTGAGATAGTTTTTGGGCTCCAAAGTTCTGTGAATTTACGAAACAATAAATTGCTACATTAACAACCATAAAATGAAACTAGTTGGTTTATACAGAACTCCTATTAGTGGAAAAGTAGTGATGGCAGTGGTTCCAATTAATAAATGAGCTAAGACTATGAATTACCTCATTTAATACCTATGGAGACTCCAGGTGCTAATATTTTCCGTATCTGTCAGATGAGAAAAATGAGAAATTAAATAAATGCCCAGCCTGTATATAGCAGGAATGGTAAGTTCAGAATCAAAGCGATTTGGCCCCATAGCCCATGCCCTAAGGTTTGTTTTGCTTTGCTTTGTTTTGTTTGGACAGGGTCTTGCTTTATACTTCTGGCTGTCCTTGAAGCCACTGTGTAGCCTATGCTGGCCTTGAACTCAGTGATCCTCCTGCCTCAGCCTTGTTTGCTAGGGTTACAGGCATGTGCCACTCTGGTTGGCTAACAGCTCTTTAGAGAGGAACAGACATGAAATAGGTGATGCTGATAACTTATGGTTCTCTTAGTGTGTTCTAAGGTTTCACAAAGCATACTTGAGTAATTCATAGAATAAAGACTATTTGAACATACCTCTACAGGCACTGCCACTTTATCCAGGCTCTGTTCTGACATGTCAGAAATAGCCTTCATCATTCTGTCTTATTCTACTTTAGTGTCTCATAACTGATTCTATATAATGTATTTACTTGTTTATTTTCTCTACTAGAATGTAAGCTACATGAAAAGGCTTTTTTTTTTTTTTTTTTTTTTTTTGGTGGCACAGGGCAGGGTGGGGGGATCGGGAGCCTGTAGCAGTGCCTGTTGTATAAAGTGCTTAAGAAAACTCACTGGATTGATGGCTAAACATTCCAAAGCATCAAGTGGTGTTTGATTTTAATGTTCTGAAAGTTTTTTTGCCTTCAAGGCACAGCTTTTATTTATTTTTCTCAAATTTCACATACTTCCAGCCTAACACTGCATTATTCAAATTCAGTAAACACATGTTTCGCCTTTTAGATATTCAGCAACCTTAAGGACAGGGACTCTGGCTTAGCTGTCCACGCATCTCAAAGCCTGGCACAGGACCTGGCTTGAGCAGGTGTTCAAAAGTGTAGAGAAGGCTGAGGAGGCAATAGTAAGAGTGACAGTCACAGGCATCATTGCTTAGTGATTTATTTTACGCTGTGGCTACATTAGCAAGTGGAATGGAAGACGCCTCCCACCCTGAGCCCTTGTGCAGCCAAGGCATTATATTCCTTCACTGCCTGTTCTGTCTGGAGGACTCGCACATCAATGCCTTGATTCCTGAGGTATTCCACAGTGGAGGGAGGCACCTGGGAAGGAGGAAGAGACAAGGTAAGGGTGTGGCAGTGGGGGGCTCCCTTTCCTGCCACAAGGGAAGTGTACTCTACAGAATTAGACAGCAACATGTCACCCCTCAGTCACCCAGTGTTACTAGTCCAAAATTTGGCAGTGAGCCCCTATGAGTCAAAGAGGCTCTAAGGGTTAGAGAGGTAGTTCAGTGGCAGAGTATGTGTTAGCACCCTTGAAGCCCTGAGTTTAATCCCTACACCAGAAAACAAAAGGGGCTTTGAGAAGGTGGCGGAAGTGTAACGCCAAAAGCTCAAGTGAAATAAAAATGGGAAAAGCATGGGTTTTATGGTAAGGCTTGGATTTAAATCTTTACTAGCAGTGTGACCTTTGGTAAGGGAATGTAATGCCCAGGCCCTTCTTTGCACATCTGTAAATTAGGGAGAATAACACCTTAGTTCCCAGCATTGGAATAAGAATGAACTAAACAAAGATACGGAAAATTCATAGCATGCTGTAGAACTCAAAACTATATACATTTTAAAAGTCTGAGTTATCAACCAAAAGATCTTTGACTACTAGTTATTTAAAGTATCTCCGTCCTCATTTCTTCACCTCTAGAGATAAAAATGCTTATATTACACAGTTGGTGTGAGAATGGAATTAACCCATGTATGTGTAGTGCAACTCAGGCCTTTCCTTCTTTCTTTTTCCTTTTCCTTTTCCTCTGTGTATGTGTGTGTGTGTGTTTTTGAGATAGAGTCTCACTAATGCAGTTCAGGCTGTCCTTGAGTTTACTTTGTAGTCCAGGCTGGTCTCAAACTCTCAGTGATCCTCCTGCCTCGGCCTCCTGAGGGCTGGTATTAAAGTCACAGGTCACCATACTCATGTAGAAAACTCACCTTTTTGTTTACAGCATTTATTCTGTGAAATTGTCTAGTTTTTATGTATGAGGTAGATGAAACTTGTCTGATTTATCTCATTGTCCTCAGTGCTTACAATAGTGTCTGACCCATAGAAAATGCTTTTTTTTGGTACCAGGATTGAACTGATAACCTTGTGCTTTCCAGGCAGGCACTTGTGCCATTGGGCTAAACCCCTGGCTAGAAAATGCTTAATACATATTTGTAAATGAATTTGTATAGAAGATAGTCTCAATACTGGCAGCTGTGACTGGATGATATAATCTCAACTCTGGCTTTTTTTTTGTACAAATAGAGTTTGATTAGCTTGTGCTTCGTAAGAAGGAGGCGAATAAAATATTTTAATATGCCATCTATTGCTTTTCTGTATATATAAAAGATTTGTAAAAGAAGCTTTAGATGCAGCTATTACTGCCAGGGATTTAGCTTTGGCGAGCGCAAATTTGTGAGTTCAATCCTTGGTACAAAAAAAAAAAATAAATAAATAAATAGAAATTACTATAAAGGGAAAAACTAGTCTAAATTTTAAAATGTAAGTTAATAAAAGGCCCCTTCATCAGTATGGAAGATTACAGGGCATCTGTGTAAAGGGACAAGTGAAGCAGCGCTCACTGTACTTACGTGGAAGACTATTTATAATGTATTGAGGAAGTTACAGAACCACTCACATAGTGTGTGCTTTTTTATATGATATGCTTATAGGTTTATATACATGCAGATCTGTATAAGCATGCATATATTTGCAGATACAAAGAGCACTGGAGAAGTATATATTCATATGTAGACATTGGCAAGAGGATCTATTTCACCTTTTAAAATCTAATTTCTGCACTAAATCTTTTTTTAATTAGTACATGTTTGCAAAACAGAATGAATACCTTTGTGGTGGGGAGTTGGTACATATACATGACCTGTCTGAATTCTTTTTACATAGGCTTTCCTTCCTCTTTCCAAACATCTTAGTCCTCTTCTCATTTGCCAGTGCTCTATTTCCTATTTCTGCATGAAACCTTAAATATTTTTTAATTTACATTTTTTTTTTTTAGACAAGGCCTCACTATGTAGTACAGGCTGGCCTTGAACTCACTTATGTAGCTCAGGCTGGCCTCAAACTCAGTGATCCTCCTGCCTCAGTCTCCAAGTGCTAGGATTTATTAGTATATAATAGTTCACATTCCTTGGTGTGCAGTTGGTACACACACAGCACATCTTAATGCCATCCATCTCTTTTCCCTCCTATCTTTTGATCCTCTTCCTCGTTGAGAACAATCCATCCCCCTACTTTCTATTATCTGTATTTGTTCCTTATGTTTTGGGATATTTATCCGTGATATTTGAGCTTGTGTGTGATTTATTTCATTTAACATGGTCCCAAAGTGTATCCATTTTCCAACAAATAGCTCTAGCTTTTTTCTTTTTATAGCAGAGAGTGCCCCTACTCTGCTATATGTGTAAATACCGCATTTTTAAATCCATTTCATCTGTTGATGGACACATAGGCTGCTTCCAAGATTGAGCTGTTATGAACTGTGCTGCTATAAACATAAGTATGCAGGTACCACTATAACATGATGTCTTTAACTCTTTGAGATAGTTTTTAAAGGAAGTAACTGGGTCAAATAGAATATGTACTATCTCTGTAAGTGTAATTTAAAAATCAGTGTTTCTTTTCCCGAGAGAGGCAGAAAGCATAACTTGAATGTGTTCAAGAAAAGAAAAAGTACTATAAAATATACTATAAAATGTAAAGGATCAAATACAGAGATAGGCCTTGTAATGGATTTTTGGTCAGTGATGGCCTATACCAGGGTTTTCTCACCTGGTGACGTTTTGCAGCCGTGTTGGTATAAATACATGCTGGGCAGTGCAAACACAATGATGAAATCACCTAACGACAAACTGCTTAGGTTGTGTCTGTGTTGTTAAGCAACATATGGCTGTACTGATCACTGCATCACTTGAAAACTTATGGGGTTAAAGTATTTGTGAGAAACAGGTGAAACAACATAGCCTTGGGTTTAGGTAGACTTAGCCCAAACTTAATGGAGCAGCAGTGTCTCACCCACTGACTCAGCAAAATGAAACACAGGTAACCTCTGAAGAAGGACGTGTATAAAGGCAGAGGTCTAAGAGACTGCCCCTGTTTTCAGGAATGCTGTGCACAGCAGTACCTACCTTCAAGGCCTCATTCATCCCTCGGCCAATCACAAGGGTCTGTACACCCTTCTCCGCAACCTCCTTCACATCTGCAGGCTGCACGCCAGGAGAATGCTGAATATGAAATGAGAAACAGTACTAGTCCTTTGCGACAGGCATTCCTGTGTGTGTGTGTACTTCTAGGGACTGAACTGAGGGCCTCAATACCTGCTTGGAAGTGCTCTATCATTGGAGGGAGAGGTGTATCCCCAGCCCTTATTTTATTTTCAGGGTGGGTCCTGCTAAATTGCTTTGCTGGCCTTCAGTTTACAATCCTCTTGCCTGTCTTATGAGAGGCTGGGATTACAGGTGTAAACCATACTGTCTGGCTGCAGTAGGCATTTAAATAGGATTGATTGATTCATTAAATCATTAATTTAACGAAGTGTTTACTGAGCTTACTTTGTACAAGCATCTGAGCCCTTAGTCCTGATAAGAGAGAAGGCAGTACTTCCCTTACGGAGCTCCAAGCCAAGTGAAAAATTCAGACGACTAAAAAGAAATTTCAGTAATTGTACAAGTGATACGGAAATTTCAGGGCACTATGAGAATATATATAGAGAAAGTGGGCATGGTGGCACACACTTGTAATCCCAGCACTCTGGAGGCTGAGGCAGGAGGATCGCTGCAAGTCTGTTGCCTGCTTGCGCTACATTGTTCAAGGCCAGCGTGGATAACATAGTGAGGCCTTGTCTCAAAAACACACCCAAGATTATAGAGAAAGGCCACCTAATTCATATGTGGGAGGTCAGGCCAGGTAGTCAGGGAAGGTGACATTTAAGATGCGAGACCCAGAAGATGAAGGAAATCAAGGAAACAAGGCTTTTCATATATAGGGAATAAAATATACAAAGGCTGAGAAGAAAAAACCTAGCAAACTACAGGTAGTTCAGCACAACTAAAATGTAGATTGACATAGGTGATAGGAAAATAAAACAGTTGCAGACTGTGTTAAAATTTGGACTTTAAACTCTCAGCACTCGAGAAGTGGAGGCAGAGAGAAGCCACTCTGAACTACATAGTGAGTGCAAGGCCAGTCTGATCTATGTATTAAGACTCAAAAAACAGCAGCCTGGGACATAGCTCAGTGGCACAAGCATCTGCCTGCCAAGCACAAGCTCCTGAGTTTGAGTCCTGGTACCAATCTCTACACTCTTTCTTTGCTCAGCTCCTTTTCTACTGTCCAGCAAATTTCATTTTATCCTTTAGAACCTATCCTCTTATCCAGGATGGTGCCATATGCCCGTACCTAAGACCATAGAAGTGCTATGCCTAGTGACTGGCCAATTATGAGCACACAATAAAATTTAAATGTGAACCTAATCTTCCCTAGGACAGAAGAGAGCTAAAAGGCCAATAGAAGAGAAGAGGCAATATTAAAAAATAATTGATAAAAATCAAAACAGACTCAAAGAACATGGGAAGTCAGGTATGCAGGCAAATACCTGTAATCCTAGCTCCTCAGGAAACTGAGGCAGTACGGTCACCTGAACACAAATTCAAGGCTAGCCTGGGTAACATGGATCCTGTCTTTAAAAAAAAAAAAAAAAAAAGGAAAGCAAAATGTGTCCATAGAAAGTAGAAGATGATGATAATGAAACAGAAAACAATATAGGAAATGAAGAAAACCTTAAGTTTGAAATTGAACAGAAAATTGAAGAGTCCTATATCTGTTAAACATTGAATTTATAATTTAAAACCGTTCCACAGGAGAGGGAAAATGCTCGGGGCACAAAATGATTTCTCTGGTCGGTTCTTAAATATTTAATAAAAATGTCCAGCAAAATAATAGCAAATTGAAGGTTTGTTCAACATTCAAAAGTCATTAAGCAGCTGTGTGATTATGGGTGTCTAATCTCAGAACTGTGGGAGGCTGAGGAGGAGCCCAAGTTCAAGCCTAGCCTGGGCAACTTAGCTACTCAGAACCTGTCTCAAAATTGAAAAAGGGCTGGGGATGCAGTGCAGTGTGAAGGCCCTGGGTTCCATTCCCAGTACTGAACCCCCCATCCCAAGTCATTCATCACAGAATAAGGAAAAAAACATGGGGCTGGGAGGTAATAGCTCAGTGATAGCTTCTTAGTGATAGCTTGTGTACTTAGCACGCTGAAGGCCTAGGTTCACTCTCCAGGCATCCTGCTAGAGAAAGAAAACTTGTAATCATCCCAAATGATGTAGGAAAAACACTGGACCAAGTTCACTACTAAGGATCTCGTCTACAAACTCCCAGCAAACTAAATTAGACAAGCACCCTCCTCCCTGTGGTAAAGAACCTCTTAGAAAAACTGCTGGCTAAACATGGATTATACTGTTGAAATACTAACATTTCCCCCTAATATTAGTCATAATGGGTATTAGGTAGCTACTTCCTCATCACTTCTTTAACCTGTTCATTCTGCCCTGTCTACTCCCAGTATCCCTTGTTTGGACCTTTGCAGTAATTTTCAGACTGTTCCACATAAAACTAAGATAGCTAAGATACAGCTAAGATAATTGTACTGCTAATTCTAATAGTTCACAGAAAGGAAAGGTTTAGTGCTTACACTGTCGATCAGTTTTGCATGCTTATATGTGGTAATTTGAGGAATTATCTTGAAAGTAACAATATAACCATTGTTAGTTTCCTATCATCTTTTGTTTTGTTTTGTTTTTTGTCCTTTGGAGACAGGGTCTCAATATGCAGTTCAGGCTGGCCTTGAGCTCACTTTGTAGCCCAGACTGGTCTCAAACGTTCAACGATCCTACTGCCTCAGCCTCCCAAGTGCTGGGATTACAGTCGTGAGCCACCATGCCCAACTCAAGTTTCCTATTATCTTGTTTTAAAAATCCTATACTGTTTTTGTTGTTGTTTTGTTTTTTTAAAGTTTTAAAGAGAACTTTAAAATAAAACAATAACAACAAATCTACATTAGCCCTAATTATCCATTCTTCAAAGTATAGCCACATTTATCTGTTAGAAATACAAATCTGTTGATATCACCCCCTGCTAAACAGCACCCAACAGGTTCTCTTTATCCTTAGAGTAGCCACCACACTCCGTAATGCGGTTGGCCAAGTTCACCGCAGGTGGTCCAGCCTCTCAGTCTACATCTTCCACTTGTGCTGTGCTCCAGCCGGACTAACCTCCTATAGTTCTACCAGCGCACAAAACTTCCTCAACACTGTTGAGAAGAGTACACATTAGACAAAATGTCTGTATATCACATATCTAACAAAGGACTTGTATTCAGAATATATAAAGATGTTAAAGCCCAACAATAAGAACATTCAGTTTCAAAAACTGGCAAAATATTTGAGCACTTTATGAAAGCAGACATATGGATGGTTACAACACACACAAAAGGACTCCATCCTTAGTCACTATGGAAATACTAAAAGCACAGTGAGATACCGAATGCTAGGAAGGATATGGAGAAGTTGTTATCTCATAGATTGCTAGAGGGAATGCAAAATATAGAGCTACTCTAGAAAAGAGTTTGGCAGCCTTTTGTAAAGTTAAACATACACTTATGCAACTCGCAGTCACACCTCCTGGGTATTTATCCTAGAGAAATGAAAACTTGTGCTCACACAAAACCTTGTATGTGAATGTTCATAACAGTTTTATTCTAGTAGTCTAACGGCTTTATCTGTAGTAGTCAAAAATTAAACAACAGCAATGTTTGTTAGCTGGTGAGTAAACATTGTATTACAATTCAAATAATGAAATATTACTCGCCAATAAAAAAGAATAATGGCACACATGGTGACATGGCTGAATCTACAAAGTATGCCAAGTGAAATGAGTCCTGAAAGATTACTTCTGGTATTACTTCATCAGTAAGACAAGCTTTAGTCAGATCTTTATATCAGATAATTATATTTGTTAATTTTCTAATTTTTATTACCTAATACAATGTTCTTGTTTTCTTAGGAAATACACATAACTGTTTAAGAATAATAAAGGGGCATAAGCCCATTGTGGTGGTACACACCTATAATCCCAGCACTTGGGAGGCTAAGGCAGGAGTACTGCCATGAGTTTGAGGCCAGCCTCAACTTCACAAAAAGTTCAAAGCCAGCCTGAACTATGAGACCTTGCGTCAAAAAGCAAATAGAAGAACTGGGGTATAGTAGCTTCAACATAACTCGGGTATTTCAGATGGAAATTATCTGGAGATAGAATGATAAAATATGATAAAATGTTAACTTTTGAGTTTGAGAGAAAGACACATAGGAATTCTTTGGGGTTTTTTGTTTTGTTTTTGTACTGGGAATTGAACTCACAATTGAGCTATATCACTGGCCTAATTCTTTGATTCCTGTAATGTTACAAATCTAAAATGATTTGAATGTGATATAAGTGTATTTTAAAGTGTGGTGGTATAAGCATGTGATAGATTAGGAGGAAGAGGCCTCATGTTGACATATATATACACTCCAGTCCACTCCTGCTCTACGATTTTGCCAAAGCATCAGAACTGACCAAAACCCAGGTGATCTGTGCAGAAAAGTCACGGCACATTTTTGTCAGCTTTCCCTGTGTCTCTTGATTTCTTGTGGAGTATATACCTGTTGGCATTATTTTCACTCCTGTTCCAGAGTTGGTAACAAAGCCAGATTTTCTGTCATTACTTCCTCTTGGACTCAGGCTTACACTAAGGCTGTGTGTGCACAAGAATATCAGAGTTACAGTCTAGCAGCCCTACACTCCAGAGAGCAGCCAGCCAGGGCAGCAAAGGTGCAGCCTCCTTTGGGCTCAGAGCACAGAGCTAGCGGCCAGGTGTCTGAAGATCCTGCTTTCCCTGTTTACCACAAAGATCACAAGAGATTTAGGGAACTGACATTGTTTTCTTACAGTTATTTAAGCTTGCAACTTTAAAAGGCTTTAAACAAAATAAGACGTATTTTCATGTGATTACAGCTAGTTTTTAAAGAGAGTAAGACATTTGGATTAGACACTCTTTTGAAAAAGTTTCACAGCTCTGTTATCAATCCTAGAACTACCATGGATTGAATACATATGATTTAAAGAACTTAGTTTTTTTTTTTCTGGAGGTATATGAATATTTAGTAGAATTACAAATCAGGGCAGAGAT